ATGCTTTATGCACATCATTATCTTTCAAGTTGGAACTAATATGAAGTTGAGACTGAGATGACCAACTTTAACCAACTTGTACACACACACACACACACAAACCTTTACTTATCTTATAGGAATGGTTTGAAATATCTTCCTACAAATAAAATATAGAACGATTCATTCCGGTTTGTTCACTCATGTTAAACCAAGTTTGAGCCGAGAGATCCAAAACCTTTTTTTTTTTCCAAAATAAAAGTAAACTGAACAAAAATGAAAAATAACCATTAGCATCCGCGGAAACCAAAATATCAAGTTCAAGAGGCTACTACTATCCTATCCGAGTAGGGTGAATACTTTGAGTGTTTGGTAAATAATAGATGAAAACTATATTTCAAATATGTAATGATGTAAGCGTTGTTTGATAAAATTATATTGTATTTCAAAAGTCTAATGAATATTATGTGACACATTTTTCCTTCTAATATTTTAATTATTTTTCAAAAGCATGTAAATTAATTAATTAATTAAATGAATGTATTAATATTATAAAATATTTTGTATAATCTTCGAAAATAAATAAATAAAATTCTAGGCTTTTTAGAAAAGGGACAACACAAAAATAAAGAGAAGGAATGAGGAAATGAGGGTTACAATTTCTATTATATAGTGGTAATTTTATGATTTTAGATAATATAATAGGATAATTTTAATTTTTTTTAAATTATATTAGCATCCCGTAGATACGAATATAATTTGAGCATTAGCAATTAAACGTTTTCAATGTAGCATTCAAACTAAATATGATTTTTTTAAAAAAATTATCAAAAAACAATTTATATTTTAAATGTGTTCCCAAATACACCTTATTTATAATACCGAACCCTAATTATAATATTAAATTCCCTAAACATATGAGAAATTGATAGCTAAGAAAAGAAGATATGAACACGGGTATGTTTCGAATCAAGCTCAAAATTCTCCAACTTTAGAAATTTATAGTTAAGAAAAGAAGGCATTAACATCTGTATATTTAGAACCATCAAGCTCTCTAAGAAGGAAGAATGTCTTCCTCCATAGTTTTTAATTTAACACCTCTAACCCCCTCCTTGGATTTAATAGGTTTGAAAATAAATATTGTTCAACAAAATATATTGCCCGTCTTTCAAGGAGAGGTGGCTTCCCTACAATGTATCCATATTTTGTGTATTTTCGAATTAGTACATCTCATCTTTTTTTTTCAAATAGCACTTCTAATTTAAAAATATATCCAAATTATCCTTTAATTTTTTTCGTATACTATAGTGTTTTGGCCTGTTATAATACTTCTGACCTATTATAGTGTTTTAGCCATCACAATAAAAATATTATAGGACATAATAAAAAATGTGATCAAAATAAACTCATATCCTCAGTCAAACTAATTATAAGCCTAAAAATATAGTAGTGTAATGAGCCATGAGCAATGATAATAAAAAAGATACAATATGATATCGCTTATAGTATTTTCCAACAACCTTTATAGTATTTTTAGTATCTCGATAGAACACTGTAAACACTATAAAAAATACCATAAATTCTATTGAAAAACATTATGACAATTAAAAATTGATTAAAAAATGATCAAAAAACTTTAGTGAAATTTTTTTGAGTATTTTAGATTTTTGAAACTATTTGAAAAAAAAAAGAAAGAATATCATTTAGGAAATACTCAAAATATACATATTTTATAGAGAAATCACCATTCGGTACCATTAAAGATCACATCACTATGAGGATTCAAAAGAGTATCGACAAAAACATATCTATATATAACAAAAATAGTAGTCGAAAATCCTTTCCTGAGCTAAAATTCATCTAACCAAATAAATTAAATTTTATGCCCAAATGAGTACATGAGTAAAGACATGTGTCTAAAAATGTTTAGTTGTGAGAGAACACTTGAAGAAGTGATCAACAAATTCATGTTGTACAGGGCAAAAGATACGACAACGTCCTTAAAATTTTACCAACTAATCTAATGGACATATGAATTTAATTAATAAGTTGTTGACTTGTTTATATCTAAATACATGTTACATTATACAAAACATTTATAGTAAGTTTTATTTTCATTTCAATATATGATTGGTTAGTATATTAGTGAACTAAGTGGCAAGCCTCAATCCATGTGTGATTGTCATGTACGTCACTTAATATAATATTTTTTTATTTTTTATTTTTATTAGTTTCATTTTCATGAGACGTATGCGATGCATGTTATCTTGTTAATATCAAGTTTAAGTTAGTTTAAGAGGGAATATTAGACAATTAGTTTAATCATTAGATATTTATTGAAGAAGTTTTAGCTGGAATACATTAACATGTTCCATCTCTTTCTCACAGCTCTGATACTATGATGAAAATAATAGAAAATAAGAACAATTATTGAAGAAGCTTTATTGAAGAAGTAAAACAGCTTAAATACATTAACATGTCTCTCTCCTATTTATACAGATTAAGAGAAAGGGGGAAATCTTATCTTCTATCATGCCCCGCAAGATGGTGCTCCTGTCAAGGAGTAAAGCAAGAGCAGATCGTTGCTGTTGCGATTGCTGTTGTTGTGAGGGCACAGGCATTCCTTTCGTTCCTCTTAAGTCCATTCTTCGATCTCCTTAAGTCTGCCGACTGTTAGTAGATCAACGAAGACTATGGCGGTGAGGAAGATGAGGATTGGCCACGGAGCCTCAAGTCCGTCGACTGTTGGTAGATCAATGAAGACTATCGTAGTAAGGAAGATGAGGATTGGCCACGAAGCCTCTTAGAAATTTGACTGTAGCGGCGTTGGTCCCGAAGACACGGGCGAAGCTTTACTTTTCTCAACGGCGTTGGTCGCTAGCCGAAGGCAAGAGCAAAGCTTTGCTTTTCTCACTGCTCTGATACCATGATGAAAATAATAGAAGATAAGAACAATTATCGAAGAAGCTTTATTGAAGAATAAGGATAATTATTGAAGATTCCTTTCGTTCCTCTTAAGTCCGTTCTTCGTTCTCCTTAAGTCCGCCGACTGTTAGTAGATCAACGAAGACTATCGCGGTGAGGAAGATGAGGATTGGCCACGGAGCCTCAAGTCCGCCGATTGTTAGTAGATCAACGAAGACTATCGCAGTAAGAAAGATGAGGATTGGCCACGGAGCCTCTTAGAAATTTGGCTGTAGCGACGTTGGTCTCGAAGATAAGGGCGAAGCTTTACCTTTCTCAACGGCGTTGGTCGCTAGCCGAAGGCAAGAGCAAAGCTTTGCTTTTCTCACTGCTCTGATACCATGATGAAAATAATATTCGCTAACCGAAGGCAAGAGTGAAGCTTCGCTTTTCTCACTGCTCTGATACCATGATGAAAATAATAGAAGATAAGAACAATTATTGAAGAAGCTTTATTGAAGAATAAGAATAATTATTGAAGATTCCTTTCGTTCCTCTTAAGTTCGTCCTTCGTTCTCCTTAAGTCCGCCGATTGTTAGTGGATCAACGAAGACTATCGCGGTGAGGAAGATGAGGATTGGCCACGGAGCCTCAAGTCCGCCGACTGTTGGTAGATCAACGAAGACTATCGCAGTAAGGAAGATGAGGATTGGCCACGGAGCCTCTTAGAAATTTGGCTGTAGCGGCGTTGGTCCCGAAGACAAGGGCGAAGCTTTACTTTTCTCAACGGTGTTGGTCGCTAGCCGAAGGCAAGAGCAAAGCTTCGCTTTTCTCACCGCTCTGATACCATGATTAAAATAATAGAAGATAAGAACAATTATTGAAGAAACTTTATTGAAAAATAAGAATAATTATTGAAGAAGTTTATTGAAGAAGTTTTAGCTTGAATAGATTAGGAAGAAGGATTTCCTTGGACAGGAGGATTTTTCTCAATAGAATAGAGAGATTTCCTATTGGGAAAATATTATTTCTATCATATACATTGTTTTGGGAAAAAGCATGCAATAAAAAATTGCATTGAGTATGGTGAAAACAATTTTTTTGTCTTTGTAAAAGAAGTGTTTGCTACCAAGATAGAGCTTTGTAGGTAAATGTCACCGTTCTCTTCCTCTCCCATTCCCCCTTGACGAGTCTTGGTTGAAGGTAAGTGGTCGATCTTCCTCCCCATTTAGGTTTTCTTAATTACTTTGATGAAATTTTATGTTTGTCAGCAAGCCATTTCCATATGATTATGTTCGTTATTAAGATATAATTACATTAAAAAAAAGCATAATTGAACAAATGTCTAATAGGACTACACATTCCATAGTATGATCTAACTTCCATTATAATAGTTAAACTATATTTTCATGGCTTACAAAAGAATATCAAATGTTAAGTAGGAGCACAAAAAATGGTGAATAAAGTACATTGATGCATAATTGGATCTATTTGGTTTGTCAAAATGGATTGCTTTCAATTATATCTTGCAAAATATGTATATAACCAATCGTAACTTGAGTCGAAAACGAAGACACGAAAATTCTTATAAATTATATTTGAAATTATCATTATGTAATTTCTAGGAATTAATGTGTATTCATTTTCAACTTATTAATCTTTTAATA